GGATTAGCTCAACAACAATCAATTATAACAGATAAATTATGCAAAGTGAATGAAATTCAAGCAAACGGAATCCCAAATAAAAATAAAAAATGCGGTTGTAATATAATATTACTTTAATAGATTAAATTAATAATTAAAAACATTCTTATGGAATCCATTCCATAAAATGTAAAATAATAATATTAGCTGTTATTATCACACTTATAATAAACTAAGATTACATTAATCACATTATCAAATAAACTGTGTATCAAATAAAAGTAAAACGTGAAGTAAAATGGTATATGTACATGTAATGACAATTGAAGAATGTAATTAATCTGAGCAAATATTTTATAGTTCTACTTTTGCTGAAATTGGTATTTTTAACTACAAATATTCGTTTGTAAATTGCTCAATAAAGGTTCTATGTTTTAAACCACCCACTTTTTCATTTTTTCTTAACTTGAGTCTTTACAACTACATAACGTTCTACCTGCGATATCAGTACCACAAACGTATAAAAAGTTTAGTTAGTTTCGTCCGTATTATAATTATTGCTGCTACATATAAACATTTTGGAATATTTTGATGGTAATTAATAGAATCAGGCGTTACTTTGCGGAAATCCATTATATTAAAGTTGGTAAAACACACCTTGCGTATCGAGCGGATGGCTCGATAAAATAAAATGATGTGTCTTACCTAGTTTGAAGAGCACCTCCCGCCCTCCCAAGGTAAGTACGCAAGGTAATTTTTACCAACTTAAATATATTTTGATGGATTTCCAGGTACAGGTCAGTCATATTATTATTTATTAGTAATTTAATAACTTAACCGAAGTAAAAATATACTGCCCCATATCGTCGCGTAGGTGCTGTAAGAGACGATAGAAGGAAACTGAAGCAGTAGTAGGGTAGCAGCATCTTTCTGATAACCATGTCATTCCATATCATTACAAACAACAACAGCCCCTTAGATTGCCTCATTGAGATAAAAAAAGGTTGCAGTTGCCAACCCGCCTACCAAGCGTGGCAACTATGGCAAAAATCCTCCCTATCAAAAGGAAGCCTTCCCTTTGAGGCACTTATGGAGGTGGCCTATGTTCAGCATTTATTGGCTGTAATAGATGGAATATAATGACTTACTTGTATGATGTTGTCCCAGGTTCTAATCCCGGTTCGGGCCAAAATCAGTAATTGGTTTTACTGTCTCGTAATTCTCAGTAGCAGTCTGGAGTCTGGAAGTTTTGTTTCACTACCGTGCCTCGGAAGGCGCGTAAAGCCGTAGGTCCCGCGCCTAGCTCTTTCTCCGATCGTGTCAGATTACCGTCACATCGGAGTATGAGGGTGAGGAAATACACTGTCATTCTGTACTAATGTGGCGCGGCGACAGCGTAGGCACATCTACTTTCTTTTGAGACTGTCCACCGAGATCGTAATTCGGTGCGGAAGACATTATACTGAAGCCAAATCAGTGATGCTTAGAATTTTATCTTTTCCCGTTTATCTAATATTATCATAGATTAATACGTGTATTCAAAAATTACGTAAAGACTACTCAACGTATTTCTATGAAATTTAACACGAAGGTCACCTTTTATCCGACTACGGAAGCGCAAGAAGGGATATTATTTTTATTTAACTAGCAGCCATTATTACGTAAATAAACTAGATAAATAAACATCTAGTTTATTTACATAATAATGACTGCTAATGTTTCTATTATATATTATGTATAGGGAGGATTTACCTTAAATGTCTCACTTAGCAGGCAGGTCCACGATTACAGTACCAGACATATCGCACTACAACTGCTGAATAGAGCTGACAAACGAACACACAGTTCACCTGATGGAAAGTGGATGCTGTGGCCCTGTTGCCCTGCTGTGTGCTGTGCTGTGGCTCGGCACTTGTTGTTTTACTAAAATAAACTAATGATTTAATACGTTCCCATAAAAAAAAGTCAAGAGGCATCAAATCAGCTGATCTGGGAGGTCAATGGCCTATGTATTTGTAAAGACATACTTGAAATAAAGTTCAATTTTCTATATACAACACGTATACGAGTATATATATATATATATATATATATATATATATATATATATATATATATATAAGAATTACGTATCTCATTGTTTGTCCGCGATGAACTCCTAAACTACTGAACTGATTTCAATGAAATTTGCACACTCTGTGCAGTTTGGTCTAACTTGAGAGATAGGGTAGTTTTTATCCTGATAAGTGACACTCAATACTTTTTTTTATTACGAATAGAAGGATTTTTTATACGTAGGGTCGTCGAAAAGGGCAGAACAACGTCTGGCTGGCTAGCTAGTATATACTCGTATATAAACGTATATAATATACGGTAGGTATATATAATACAAACTGTAACCCGTGGTGCCCGTTCATTCAGTCTGAGTGGACTTGACGAACAGCTTTGACAGTTCTGTTTCCTGTTTTCGGATCGCCCGGTCGCTCTTTCCACTTTATAAACATAAACTAATGAACGTGTAACTTCCGCATTTCCCAATCTATTGGATGAAAATTACACCCTTGGAGCCTAAGATTCGAGCGTCATTTGATACATGGACTGATGAATTGGACAACACTACCCACAATTATCTATCTGGCCACAATAATATATTATTTCTTTCATATATTATAAGTTAAGTATTTCATATTTCACATGCTACGGGCGTGTCGATTTTGACTAGCATGGCTACATAAATAGCATACAAGCTATATAAGCAAAGAGATTTAAATATATAGGCTACTTAAATGTCTTTGTCTATAAGTAAATTAATAAAATAATACTATGTCTTTATTTTTGTTAGAACAATTTTTTCATGCGTGTGCAATAACTTGATTTCAACCAAATGTCCAAGGTTTCTAAAGTTTTTGTCTGATATCGGCAGTTTAGATGATAACAGCACCCTAATTGAGCACCATGGCTCTTCCTAAAAACATCAAATTCACAAAAACCCTAAACTATAAATTTACTATTTATTATTGTTTGCAAATGTAAAGAAAGAAAACTCGCTGCAATTCCAAAGTCCTGAAAGAAAAAACGAAACCGTTATCATATCGTTATCCGTCTATCCATCCCTCTATCCCTATCCGTATGTCAAGACCCTTTTCTCAGAAACGGGTAGAAATCTATCTGAAACTAATATTAAATACTAAGGTATATGATCCATTTCAATTGAAAAATTTAAGCTTCAAAGTCAACGCCTTCATGTAAAACCAAAAAAAAGTAGATGCCGTGGCCCAAAGACATTTTTATCTACCCGCGATTAAGAATAAAAATACAGATGCGTTGTTACCCCTGAGTACTTAGATATAATGCCTCGTTTGATATAAAAAGGGTCTTCGGTTCGCTACACTTGCCATAAGAAACACATCAGCATTAAGCTGCTATTTTACGCTGGTATTCTGTGAGAGCGTGGTCTTTTCCCGGTTAAGCCGACTCATTCGTGCTACAACTATACTACTAATATAGCTGCAGCGTGGCTCTACCACGTTAAAAACCCGGTGCACCCGTGATGGACGCTCGTGCTTTTGACTTTGTTAGATTTCGTGATTCAACATCGAGAATAGTAAGGATTTAGACGTGAATTTTATAGATATTTCATTACATGATTTGCGCGACATTGACTTATTAGAAGCTAGTATTTTTGATGAAATTGCTAGAAAAAATTATTTGAGTGAAAATGAAGAATCAGAGATTGAAGATTATAATATCTATCCTTCAAAAAACGCAAAGGTATGTTTATTCCTAGTGAATCTGAGAGTGAAGTGATGACGTGGAAAAATTTGTCAATGAAAATATTGATAGATTATCGGCACAAAAGTGGCTTCAACCTAATGGAGACCATACACGCTAGGTTTTGCATGATGGTTTTAGCCGTGCATGCATAACCGACAGGCAAGCCCTAACGTGTATGTGATTAAACTGTACAGTTATCGGTGCATATACATGCAACCGAGCAAATATCGAAATTGATATTTTATGCCTAGCATAACCGAGCGTGTGTGGCGTCCGGCGAGCTTGCCTGCCACAGTTCTCAGTTATTACATTTGTTTGCGACGCCGGAAGGTCGCGCGCGCGCATCATCGCGAAAATGGCGAGTCGCAAGCGCAATGCCACATTAGAAGAATTCATAGAAATTTATAAGTCGGAATCTTGTCTTCGGCGCGTAAAGTGCAAAGAATATCACGACAGAGACAAACGATCGACAGCATACGAGAAATTGATAACTAAGCTCAAGGAATCGGAGCCAACTGCTACAAAAGATGATGTGATTAAAAAAATTACTACGTTACGCAGTAACGTTAGACGAGAGAAAAAATACGATGAATCTGTGAAGTCTGGAGCATCATCTGATGACATTTTTTTTTATTTTTTTTTTTATAAACCAACACTATGGTACTTTGAATTATTCGATTTTATTGGAGATCAAGATGTTCCTCGCAGCTCGCGATCTAACATTTCGGACATTGACGAGAATGATTCGAATTGAAATAAATTAGTGAATTATTTATTTTGGAATTTATAGATTAGGTACGGCCGACCACAAACAATTAAGTACCTACATTTTTTCATATCGTTTATGTTACAATGAGATAGGGTAGGTACTCTCGACAACTTCTAACGCGTGATGTGTGGTCGTCTGTACCTAAGTTTTTTGCAACGTCGTTTATAGCTTTACAAAATGTAGCCTACACTACCTACATAGATTATTACAGTATAAACTCTTAAGCGGTGTGGTTGCTCATTTATTCATAAAACAATATTATTACATAAAAATAAAAGAAATTAGTCACATTTCAATGAAACTATCCTGCCAAGGTACTTTGCCTTCATTGACAAAGTAAGTTTGGTATTCTAGTCTGACTTTTTTTGCATCATTCAGGAGATTTCCTCGATTTTGTACTTGTAAATTTGCTACGTTTGAACATGTGGCATCGTACCCGTGGTAACAACAGTTCCATTATCCACATTTCTCGATAAAATCATCTTGGAGGTGCATATGAATTAGGAGTGTGCTCCATTAGAATGTTGTGCAAATCACATGTAGCCATCACCACTTTTTCTATATTGTTTGGTTCTAAATTGATCTGAGTATGGTAAATGCGAAATCTTGATGCTAGTATGCCAAAAGCGTTTTCAACTATTCTTCTTGCGCGAGATAATCTATAATTAAAATTTTTTTTGTAGCTGCTCAAATCCGCTTCACGATATGGTTTCAGCATGTCAGGTCTCAAGGGGAATGTATCATCAGCAATAAATACATATGGCATACACCTTGAACTGTGTTGAATCAGTTCGGAGTTTGGAAGATTTAAATGTTTCATTTGTAACTTTTCAAAAAACGTTGTATTCTGCAAAACACCTCCGTCGGAAACTCTTCCATTTGTACCAAAATCTTATAATAGAAATCAATATTTGGCATCAACTATTGCCATAAGAACCATGCTATGTCGTCCTTTGTAGTTGTAGTAATAAGATCCACTATCAGCAGGTGGCGCTATGTCTATGTGTTTTCCATCTATGGCACCCAAGCAGTGAGGAAAATTCCATCTCTCTTCAAAAAGTTCCGCGGTTTCCTTCCATTTATCTGATGAATCTGGAAACTAAAATAAATATTATTTTGTTGTGTTATAGGATGCTGACAACTCGACTGAAAATACAATAGATACTTTTTTTTTATAGGAGAGGGAGCAAACGAGCATGCGGCTCACCTGATGGTAAGTGACTACCGCCGCCCATAAACAACTGCAACACCAGGGGAATCGCAGATGCGTTGCCGGCCTTTTAAAAAGGAGTACGCTCTTTTCTTGAAGGTCCCTAAGTCGTATCGGTCCGGAAAAATCGCTGATGGTAATCGATTCCACAAGGAGGTCGTGCGAGGAAGAAAACATCTTCTAAATCGCACAGTGGTGGACCGCCAATCATCCAGATGGTGTGGATGGTATCGGGAGTTCTGCCGCGATGTGCGTTCGTGAAATTTGGCGGCTGGGATTAATCCGAACAATTCCTCAGAGCACTCCCCATGGTAGATGCGAAAGAAAATGCAAAGGGATGCAACATCTCTTCGCAGTGCCAATGAATCGAGCCGATCGGAAAGGGCTCGGTCGTCGACAATTCGAGCCGCTCTGCGTTGGATGCGGTCAAGTGGAAGGAGCTGGCACTGGGGAGCCCCTGCCCAGAGATGGGAACAGTATTCCATGTGAGGCCGAACTTGCGCCTTGTAAAGTAGCAGGCGGTGTGCCGGCATGAAATACTGTCCCGCTCTGCTGAGCACGCCAAGCTTTTTAGAGGCCAATTTGGCCTTCCCTTCCAAGTGACCACGAAACTGCACGTCACTCGATATGTCGACTCCGAGGATACCGATACTGGCTGAGGCAAGAAGGGGAGTGCCTTGAAACTGAGGAGATACGACAAAGGGGTTCTTTTTAGCGGTAAACGCGCAAACTTGTGTCTTCTGAGGATTAAATTGGACTAGATTTAGTCGCCCCCAATCCGAGACTTTGTTCAGCAAAGACTCGACTTCAGACACAAGTTTGTTCCGGTACTCAGCGACGTTTTCCCGAGAAATATTGGCACGGCCGGTGTATAGAGTATCACCAGTGCTGTCATCCGCATAGCAATGAATGTTACCAGTTAGCAACATATCATTGATATGCAGAAGAAACAGCGTTGGTGATAGCACACAGCCTTGTGGAACACCAGCGTTAATAGGCTTGTAGTCAGAGCATGCACCGTCTACAACGACCTTGATGCTCCGATCTGCAAGGAAGCTGGTGATCCAATTGCACAATTTCTCGGGAAGCCCATAGGAAGGGAGCTTCGAAAGAAGCGCTTTGTGCCAAACCCGATCGAAGGCCTTCGCAATGTCCAGACTAACGGCCAACGCCTAATACTACGGAATATACGGAATAAATAGCATACAAGCTATATAAGCAAAGAGATTTAAATATATAGGCTACTTAAATGTCTTTGTCTATGAGTAAATTAATAAAATAATACTATGTCTTTATTTTTGTTAGAATAATTTTTTCATACGTGTGCAATAACTTGATTTCAACCAAACGTCTAAGGTTTCTAATGTTTTTATCTGATATCGGCAGTTTAGATGATAACAGCCCCCTACTTGAGCACCATGGCTCTTCCTAAAAACATCAAATTCACAAAAACCCTAAACTATAAATTTACTATTTATTATTGTTTGCAAATGTAAAGAAAGAAAACTCGCTACAATTCCAAAGTCCTGAAAGGAAAAACGAAACCGTTATCATATCGTTATCCGTCTATCCATCCCTCTGTCCCTATCCGTATGTCAAGACCCTTTTCTCAGAAACGGGTAGAAATCTATCTGAAACTAATATTAAATACTAAGGTATATGATCCATTTCAATTGAAAAATTTAAGCTTCAAAGTCAACGTCTTCATGTAAAACCAAAAAAAAGTAGATGCCGTGGCCCAAAGACATTTTTATCTACCCGCGATCAAGTATAAAAATACAGATGCGTTGTTACCCCTGAGTACTTAGATATAATGCCTCGTTTGATATAAAAAGGGTCTTCGGTTCGCTACACTTGCCATAAGAAACACATCAGCATTAAGCTGCTATTTTACGCTGGTATTCTGTGAGAGCGTGGTCTTTTCCCGGTTAAGCCGACTCATTCGTGCTACAACTATACTACTAATATAGCTGCAGCGTGGTTCTACCACGTTAAAAACCCGGTGCATCCGTGATGGACGCTCGTGCTTTTGACTTTGTTAGATTTCGTGTTTCAACATGGAAAATAGTAAGGATTTAGACGTGAATTTTATACATATTTCATTACATGATTTGCGCGACATTGACTTATTAGAAGCTAGTATTTTTGATGAAATTGCTAGAAAAAATTATTTGAGTGAAAATGAAGAATCAGAGATTGAAGATTATAATATCTATCCTTCAAAAAACGCAAAGGTATGTTTATTCCTAGTGAATCTGAGAGTGAAGTGATGACGTGGAAAAATTTGTCAATGAAAATATTGATAGATTATCGGCGAGTACGTCACAAAAGTGGCTTCAACCTAATGGAGGCCATACACGCTAGGTTTTGCATGATGGTTTTAGCCGTGCATGCATAACCGACAGGCAAGCCCTAACGTGTATGTGATTAAACTGTACAGTTATCGGTGCATATACATGCAACCGAGCAAATATCGAAATTGATATTTTATGCCTAGCATAACCGAGCGTGTGTGGCGTCCGGCGAGCTTGCCTGCCACAGTTCTCAGTTATTACATTTGTTTGCGACGCCGGAAGGTCGCGCGCGCGCATCATCGCGAAAATGGCGAGTCGCAAGCGCAATGCCACATTAGAAGAATTCATAGAAATTTATAAGTCGGAATCTTGTCTTCGGCGCGTAAAGTGCAAAGAATATCACGACAGAGACAAACGATCGACAGCATACGAAAAATTGATAACTAAGCTCAAGGAATCGGAGCCAACTGCTACAAAAGATGATGTGATTAAAAAAATTACTACGTTACGCAGTAACGTTAGACGAGAGAAAAAATACGATGAATCTGTGAAGTCTGGAGCATCATCTGATGACATTTTTTTTTATTTTTTTTTTATAAACCAACACTATGGTACTTTGAATTATTCGATTTTATTGGAGATCAAGATGTTCCTCGCAGCTCGCGATCTAACATTTCGGACATTGACGAGAATGATTCGAATTGAAATAAATTAGTGAATTATTTATTTTGGAATTTATAGATTAGGTACGGCCGACCACAAACAATTAAGTACCTACATTTTTTCATATCGTTTATGTTACAATGAGATAGGGTAGGTACTCTCGACAACTTCTAACGCGTGATGTGTGGTCGTCTGTACCTAAGTTTTTTGCAACGTCGTTTATAGCTTTACAAAATGTAGCCTACACTACCTACATAGATTATTACAGTATAAACTCTTAAGCGGTGTGGTTGCTCATTTATTCATAAAACAATATTATTACATTAAAATAAAAGAAATTAGTCACATTTCAATGAAACTATCCTGCCAAGGTACTTTGCCTTCATTGACAAAGTAAGTTTGGTATTCTAATCTGACTTTTTTGCATCATTCAAGACATTTCCTCGATTTTGTACTGGGTGATTCAAGTAGAGATACTTTTTTCAATAGCCTTTTTTTTACAGATCACGTGTGAGTCGTGTCATGTTGTCATGTTATTTTTGTTTAGTATTGTTTGGCATTTCATAATGGAAAGACTTACGCCTGAACAACGTTTACAAATCGTTCAACTTTATTACGAAAATTCACGTTCTGTGAGGAATGTGTTTCGTGCACTTCGCTCAACATATGGTCAACATAATCGGCCTACTGAGCGTACTATTCGCAACACCATCACCCATTTTGAGACCCAGCATTCATTATTGGATAATATTCCCCCGAATAGACCACGTCCAGTACGCTGTGAAGAAAATATAGCGACCGTAGCTGAGAATGTACAAGAAGACCGTGGAGAGTCGATTCGGCGCCGTTCGCAGCAACTTGGACTGACGTATGGAACGACTTGGCGCATTTACGTCGAGATCTTAAATTAAAAGCGTACAAAATACAACTTGTGCAACAACTGAAGCCGCTCGACCTTCCCAAGCGACATCGCTTCGCTCTATGGGCTCTTGAAAAGTTCCAAGAAGATCCGACGTTTTCGAGGCAAATTTTGTTTAGCGATGAGGCCCATTTCTGGCTCAATGGGTATGTAAACAAACAAAATTGCCGCATTTGGGACGAAGAGCAACCTGAAGAGATTCAAGAACTGCCACTTCATCCAGAAAAAACAACGGTTTGGTGTGGTTTGTGGGCCGGTGGAATCATCGGTCCATATTTCTTTAAAAATGATGCCGGTGCGAACGTAACCGTCAATGTCGACCGTTATCGTGCCATGATAACCGACTATTTGATGCCTGAAATTGAAGCTCGTGATCTCGGCGCCATTTGGTTTCAGCAAGACGGTGCCACTTCCCACACATCGCATCAATCAATGGATTTATTGAGAGAACATTTCGGTGAGCACATAATTTCACGTTTTGGACCGGTCGATTGGCCACCAAGATCGTGTGATATCACACCGTTAGACTTTTTCCTGTGGGGATATGTAAAGTCTAAAGTTTATGCGGACAAACCCGCTTCGATTCAGGCCTTGGAGGAAAACATCACGCGTGTCATTCGCCAGTTACCAGTCGAAATGCTCGAACGAGTCATCGAAAATTGGACTCAACGGATGGACCATCTATATCATAGATATAATCTTAAAAAAATAAATGCCAAAGAATGTTCTTTCAAATGATAATAAACATTCTCCATTAAATTTGAATTTTCTGTGTTTTTTTCTTTAAAAAAGTAGGGAACCTCGAAATGGATCACGCCTTACTTGTAAATTTTCTACGTTTGAACGTGTGGCATCGTATCCCGTGGTAACAATAGTTCCATTATCCACATTTTTTCGATAAAAACATCTTGGAGGTGCATATGAATTAGGAGTGTGCTTCATTAGAAAGTTGTGCAAAACACATGTAGCCATCACCACTTTTTCTATATTGTTTGGTTCTAAATTGATCTGAGTATGGTAAATGCGAAATCTTGATGCTGGTATGCCAAAAGCGTTTTCAACTATTCTTCTTGCGCGAGATAATCTATAATTAAAATTGTTTATCGTAGCTGCTCAAATCCGCTTGACGATCTGGTTTCAGCATGTCAGATCTCAACGGGAATGCATCATCAGCAACAAATACATATGGCAAACACCTTGAACTGTGTTGAATCGGTTCGAAGTTTGGAAGATTTAAATGTTTCATTTGTAACTTTTCAAAAAACGTTGTATTCTGCAAAACACCTCCATTGGAAAATCTTCCATTTGTACCAAAATCTGCTAATAGAAATCGGTATTTGGCATCAACTATTGCCATAAGAACCATGCTATGTCGTCCTTTGTAGTTGTAGTAATAAGATCCACTATCAGCAGGTGGCACTATGTCTATGTGTTTTCCATCTATGGCACCCAAGCAGTGAGGAAAATTCCATCTCTCTTCAAAAAGTTCTGCGGTTTCCTTCTATTTATCTGATGAATCTGGAAACTAAAATAAATATTATTTTGTTGTGTTATAGGATGCTGACAACTCGACTTAAAATATAATAGATACTACGGATAATGCTGCTGCAAATGTTAGTACAGGGAATTCAGACGATATTAGGACACCTAAGAATACTCCATTACCTGCTACTAGACCGGGAAGAAAGAAAATGACAGAGCAAGATCACTTAACTACTGACATATTACTATCCGTGAGAGACCATTTTAAGCGTCCTGCTTCTGCTTCAGCAACAGAAGATCGTTACGATCTTTTGGAAAGATCTATCGCAATGAAATTAAGATCATTAGACAAGCGTCAACGCTTGATTGCGGAGAAGATAATTAATGACACCCTGTTCGATGCCGAGATGGGCAATCTAAATACCGAAGCAATTCAGAATCGTCGAAGTTTAACTTTTGTTTCTTCACCAACTTCTAGTCTCTCACGAACTCCAAGTCCTTCGCCCTCACTAGTTCAACAATATTATACACAACCGTATACTCATACCGCTTCTGTTGCGCCTCAAATACAACCCTGCGTATCTCCGATACAAGAGTACAACACCCAACAACAAAGGTACACGATTTCTCCTGCACCGCAAAGTCAGCCCTGTACATCTCCAATTCAACAATATAACACTCAACAACAAACTACTTCTCCAGCACCACAACGTCAGCCCTCACCAGCACTACAAGAAGAATTTGACACACTAACAACAGCAACATTTTATTCAAATTTTAATTCACAAATGATTTAAATATGTAATTGGTTAATTAAAATATGTACCTACCTATTAAACTTGTCTAACGATTTGAATTTGGTTTTAATTATTTACTCACCTGTAGATAGTCCTCTTTTAGTGCTTCATAAATAGCATCGCATGTTTCTGGTATTATTCGGCCCAAAACCTGAGGTAATATAATAGCAGAATATGTAAGACACTCGTATGTTCTTCCTGTTGCAAGAAATCTTAATGTTACTGCTAGTCTCTCATGTGCTGATATTGCTTTCCTCATAACAGTATCTTGTCTTTGTATTAACGGAGTAATCAATGATAATAGTTTCAAATAAATTTTTTCATCCATTCGTAAATAATTTTTGTAATCTGTAGGTGTAAATCTCAATTCATTTATCAAATTTACGTGGGAGAATTGCTTTCTTTTCAATAACCAGCGTTTAGACCATTCAGTGCGTTCTCTTTTTCTTTTTTTGTTCTGCAGAACAAGTGTTAGGCTAAGGACAGCTATCACATCGTCGTCGTCCATTGTAGTTTGGTATTATTGGCGTCCTACACACACCGTCACGTAGCTCAACTGAGAGTTCATGGTTCACAGTTTAACATTTTTTGCTATTTACAAACAAGCGACACGCGACTTCATTATCAATGAAAGTGTGGCAATGAGAAGTACTGCTAAGTTCAATTAATATCCAGTATATGCTGATCTTGCATTAGGAAGCTAGTCACCAGTACTGGGAGGTCTACTTACACTAAACGATATTTTAAGTTCATTGGGATTATACGCGAAATAATCGAAAAATAAAATAATAAATCTATAACTATGGCGTCAGTAACTAAGTACCTAATTATCTAGAACTACATATAAATAATAATATATTACCTTTCGGTATCCTTAGGAACAGTAAAGAATGAAAAGTCGACTTTCCTGTTGTTATTTAAGCACCCGTATGCTATGCAGTACCTTTTGGCTTTTTGAGATGCCATACTTGAATAAAAACTCAAAAATAAATGTCAAAAGTGCCTAAATACTTATTGCAAAAAAAAATATTTTTATGCTAACGTAAGGCGCGCGTCAGCTCGAGCGGGCGCGTGACCTCACAGAATTTGATCCCCATGCGGGGCAGCGTAGCGAAGGTATATTTTCATGCCTAAAGCGCGGAGTGAGACAGGTATGCATAATATACTAAATGTAAGATGAACGTGGCCACCGGCGTCATAATTCTGCCCGAAAACAGGTCTGTCTTGAGGTGACCGGTAACTAACACGACGTGTAGATAGACAGAGACGACAAGACGGGGTCCAGTCACCGGTGAGCATAGGGTTGCCAGATGGTCGGGATTCGTCTGGATTCTCCCGACATATAAATGATCTCCAAACTCCCGACAAAACTCAAAATGTCTAGACAAACAGCTTCTCGGAAAGTTCTTATACAAAATAATAATTTAAAATTGCCACACGCGTTCACGTTCTTCTTCGTGGCTACAACATGGCTATCTCTTTTGCCCACTTTAGATCATTTACTGTATTGTTGGACTGCTGTAAATCAGTATATGTTGAAAGGGGAAGACGGATGTCGAAAAGAGCCATATTGATAATAATAGTGAACGGGTTGACGAATGCAAACAGGAAGGGGATTCCAGAAGCGTATCTTATATACTTAGTAACGTAATGTTGGAGTTCCATGTAGAAATTTTCGGATTGGAAAGTGCTGAATGCACTGTCCTAGAACTTGAAAGTGTAATGAAAAAACTAATGAGTCATATAAAAAGCAGGTTGGATGACAAATTCTTAGGTAATAAAAAATAACCTTATTAAGGAATGTTTGCGATAGTGAGAAAACCCCCTTTTGCATCAAAGCTGAACATTTTTTAA